GGGCTCACGGGAAATCTATCAAAATTCTGGAGAAACAACATATTTAACATGAACCCAAGCTAATTTAAGGCTAAAACAAAGGGATTTAATGGTTGATTCTTACCCAAAAGCCCAGAATTTTGCACCCTCAAGCTGCAAGAGCAGCAACCGGACAGAGCAGAGCAGAGCAGAGCAGATCCGGATTCTGCAGAGGGGTGGGGGAAATTTCTGGGTTCTAGAAGTGTTCTAGAGCAAGAAAACAAGGAGAAAATCAAGCTTCCTACCGGTTTTTCTTAGCTGGTGCCGGGTTCCCTTTTTTTTTTCTCTTTCGGGTGTAGCAGCGGGAAGAAAGAAGAGCAGAATCGGGTTGAAGAAGAAGAAAAGAAAGAAAGAAAAAGGAGAAAAGAAAAGAAGCCATCCTTATCCAATTCTCCTCTTTTAAGCCCCTTGACTTTCAAACTTTGGCTATTAAGTCCCAGAATAATGTTAAAAATTCCCGAAAATTTGGGATATTACACAAACTATGCACAAATGTGAGATGAGTAATTGGAGCAAATGTTTCTTTATAGTCTATTCCATACTTTTGTGTAGAACCCTTAGTAACCAATCGTGCCTTCTTGTACACCCATTTATAGCTTATTAGAGATTCTTCAACTGGGAGATCCACTAAATCTCATGTACAAATGTTCTCAGGAGCCTATAATTCATCTTGCATAGCTTTCTGTCAAAAAAAGGTTAGAAGAGGCCTCTTAATAGGATTAAGACTCATGTAAAGAAATAATAGTAGGAAAACAATGATAAGCATGAAGTTAATTGGGAGGATTCTTGACCCAAGTAGGATGACTCGAGAGTGGGATAACAAGCTCATTTTTAGACTCAATAATGTTAGATGCAACATAAACAGGTGATATAGAAGAGAGACTAGAAGAAGGCTTAGAATTATCTAATGCATTACCAATGAGCAAGCCATCTTCTATTGAACTAGTTAGAGCATGATGCGAGGCATTGTAATGCTCATAAGATGTAC